GAAGAAGAAGAAGAAGAAGAAGAAGAAGAAGAAGAAGAAGAAGAAGTGCTTTACAGCCCTCTCTAAGCAGTTTACAGAGTCAGCCTCTTGCCCCCAACAATCTGTGTCCTCATTTTACCCACCTTGGAAGGATGGAAGGCTTGAGATGGTCAGGATCAAACTGTGATGACCCAGGGTGGGATACAAAATAAACACAGTCACAAAAAAACAGGTGAAGCCCCTTTTATTCCTTCACTTTGCTTCCAAGCTCCAAATATCCTTGACTGGAGACAAAAAAAACTCCCACACAAGCAGTTACCAGAAGGAAAACATGCCATTTAAATTATAAAGAGTAAAAAGCAACACAAACCAGGCAAGTTAAGGGCTGGAGGACGTCCACAGATAACAGAACACACACTGGGAAGGACGCCAAACTCAGAGAGGAACCATAAACTAGAGATATTTCCACGCTTTGTTTCCAGCACTCACCCGTACGCATGTCCGTCCCCTTATTCAGTTGTCACAGTTGCAGCCCATGAAGAGGATCAAGGCCCTCTTCTCCTGAGTAGACCACGTTTCTCCCTTGCCCTCTCCTCCCTGCATGCCCTAGGATGGATAGGGGATGGGCCTGGGTCCTCCTCTGACTGCCCAGCCGGCCTCTGCCCTTCCCCAGCCTCCTCCACCACCTCCAGAGCCACACTTCCACTCCCTGTTGGCTGTCCCTCCTCTCCCTCAGTCAGTCTCCATCAGGGGCATGACACAAACTCCTGCTGTGGGCAGAGTTAGCTTGCAATACTGCATTCTAACCACTGCACTGCCATGGCTCAAAAAATGAATAAAATCAGTAAACAAATCTAGAGTGTTATGTGCTGAACACAATTAGTCAATAAGCATGGCAGAAAAATGGCTTTTGATATCAATGCATTTTTGTCTGTTTTTCCACTTTTAAATTATTACTCAGATGGAGATTCAGTTTTTGAATTGTCTTTCCCTGAATTTTACCGGTTGTTGTTTTTTTAAAATTCATGTTAAGGAAAGGTCTGAGCATAAAATGTTCTGCCAACATGATGTTTTTTCCAAAGTCAAGCTAATATGGAAAAAGAGAAAGCTGAAAGAAACTGAAATTGACAGATCTGCCCTCTGAAAAAAATGAGAAGTAATGCAGCTGCGCTGATTGCTTTCAAGGCCTTTGGATGATAAGCAGAGTAAACACTTGGTTAACTGCATCTTGTCAACCCCGTATTAAGATGTTCTCGCTCACTGAAGCCTGAGAATATTGACTGTCATTTGCTAGTTGTGAAAGATTGTGGAGTGGCGAAGAAAATAACAGAAGGAAGATTACACAGAAACCATCAAGAGACAGAAAGCAAATTCATTGGCAGCTAATCTCCTAAATTGCAAGTCAATTGAAGTGGAGCAAAATCCCAGGGAAAGCATTTGAAATCATTCAAAGGCATTCCACCTTCATGAACTCGCAGACAATGAGGCTGGGAAATTACGCTTGCAGATTGCAAGATTTTATGGTTATCCCAGAGAGTAACACTAAAAATTTCTTCCTCTTCTTGATTCTCGATAGAATCAAGATCAGGTGAAGTTCTGGTACCGCTTTACAAAGCCTTAGTATGACCACACTTGGAATGTTGCATCCAGTTATCCAGAGGTGGTATTCAGCAGGTTCTGACCAGTTCTGGAGAACTGGTAGCGGAAACTTTCAGTAGTTTGGAGAACCGGCAAATATCACCTCTGGCTGGCCATCTATTCTCTGCCTCCCAAGTCCCAGCTGATTGGCTGGGTCTTCTTTTGTTGCCCTGCACAGGAGAATGGAGCTGGAAAGCAGGTTAATGGGGTGGGGTAGGAATGGAGATTTTGCAGTATCCTTCCCCTGCCATGCCATGCTACCAAGCCACGCCCACAGAACCAATAGTAAAACATTTTGAATCCCACCACTGCAGTTATGCTCACCACAATATAAAAAAGATGTTGAGACATTGAGAAAGAGTGCAGACAAAAGCAATAAAGATGATTAGGGAGCTTGAGGCTAAAACATATGATGAACGGACTAGGCCTAACCTGATAGCATTGTTCCAATATTTGAAGGGCACCTACAAAGTTGAAGGGGTCAACCTATTCTCCAAAGCACCTGAAGGCAAGACAAAAACCAATGGATGGAGAGGCCCAAGGAGAGAAGCAACTTGGAACTAAGGAGAAACTTCCTAACAGTGAGAACAATTAACCAGGGGAATGACTTGCCTTCAGGAGTTGTGGGTGTTTCAACACTGGAGTCCTTCAAGAAGAGACTGGACAGCCATTTTTCTGAAACAGTAGAAGGTCTCCTGCTCAAACAGAACTTGGACTAGATCCGCATTCTCCAACTTCTGTGGCTTGGCAGCCTGGCAAGAGGGAAGAAGAACTGAGCCACATGGGTGGCATGTCAGCACACATGCCTGATTCCAGAAGAGGAGTCAGAAAAGGCTGCATATAGATCTGTTTCATCTATATAATAAAGACATTATACATGGTCCAAATAGGGAAGAACTAGTGGGTGGTATCAAATTAGGTGGAAGGAATGTTAGTAAAGTAAGAGATGTGGATGATACTACATTGGTTACAGAAACTGAATAAGACCTAAAAATGGCCATTCTAAAACAGGTGAATGACAAGACCTGGCTTTCTTTGAACATCAAGAGAACTGGGGTAAATGTCCCCTGGAGGAATGTAACATAAACAGTGGAATGATAGACGTGATTGACAGTTTCTATCTTCTACTCAATAGACTTGATAAAAATGGGTGGGTGTACAAAAGTTATTCCAAAAAGTGTTGTGATGGTCCACAAGACATAAACTCCTGAAATACCATAACATTTCCATTAAGATAAAACTTACAATCATTCATTCACTGGTCTTTAGTATCATTCATTCATTCTGACTGCCCATTTCACAAGAAGTGACTCTGGGCAGCATACAATAAGTAAAAAAACACATGATGATGATGATGAGGAGGAGGAGGAGGAGGAGGAAGGAGAAGGAGGGGGAGAGAGAAGGAGGAGGAGGAGGAGGAGGAGAAGAAGAAGAAGAAGAAGAAGAAGAAGAAGAAGAAGAAGAAGAAGAAGAAGAAGAAGAAGAAGAAGAAGAAGAAGAAGATTAGTAGTAGTAGTAGTAGTGCTAAAAAAATAATATTCACAGTGTAATGATGTTACAAGCAATTACAAACAACAAATTTTCATCTTCCAGGGCTGTGCAAACATTCACAAGTGTATCCTTGTTAAATAATTGAAAAATCTGTCTAATTGGGGGGGGAAAGTACATAATAATTGCAAAAGCGTATAATTGAATTTAGAATGCTTAAGAAAGAAAGAAGAACTAGATAGATGTGGCATTAATTGGCTTCATGATTTTGGCTCATCTGCCGCAACTGAAGAGTCACTTTTGCAAGATTTCCATGAGCAACTCTAACTCCGATGCAACCCAAGCAGGACGAGTGCAGCTGATCCATGCCAGCTGTGCCTGATGGATTTATTGCAGGCTGCCAGAGTCCTCTTTTGGCTGCCATGGCAAGAGAAGGTAATTTAGGAGATACCGCACAGCACGGTCGCTGCCTTTTGCTTCCTCGACAAAATTGCTTCTAGCAATCCCTGCGTGCATTAAGGAGTAAGAAACGAAGATGTCAGGAAAGTCTCCCAACGAACCCTGGCCAGATTGCGATGGCCAAGGATACTCTCCTTTTTTAACAGTCCGACGTACAGGTAGTCCTTGTCTCATGCTTAACCAAAATATTGTTTATTTATGGATACCATAAAATAAAAGGGACACGGTGGCTCAACGGCTAAGATGCTGAGCTTGTCGATCAGAAAGGTCGGCAGTTTGGCGGTTCAAATCCCTAGCGCTGCGTAACGGAGTGAGCTCCCGTTACTTGTTGCAGCTTCTGCCAACCGAGCAGTTTGAAAGCATGTAAATATGCAAGTAGAAAAATAGGGACCACTTTGGTGGGAAGGTGCGCCCTTCCATGCGCCCTTGGCATTTAGTCATGCCGGCCACATGATCACGGAGACGTCTTCGGACAGCACTGGCTCTCTTCAGCTTTGTAATGGAGATGAGCACCAGCGCCCCCTAGAGCCGGAAACGACTAGCACGTATTATGTGCGAGGGGAACTTTTACCTTAACATAAGATACAGAAATACAAAAGAAAACAGTAGGAAAGATAGGGGAGGGAAAAGGGAAGAGAGAAGTGTGGAGAAAAAGGAGAAAAAGAAGAAAAAAGGCATTGACTTCCAACTTCCTTTTGGTGCAGTAGAATAAAATAACACCAAAGCTCAACTTTTTACTTTTACATACTCCAGCTAGTCCTCGAGTTACGACAATTGAGTCCAAAATTTATGTTGCTAAGGGAAACCTTTGTTAAGTAGGTTTGCCCCATTTTACGATTCTTCGTTAAGTGAATTATTGCATTTGTTAAGTCAATAGCATGGTTGTTCAAGTAAATCTGGATTCCCCGTTGAATTTGCTTTGCCAGCAGGCTGCAAAAGCTGATCACGTGACCCCAGGAGACGGCAACCATCATGTCATCCAGTCTGAATTTTGATCACATGACCCCAGAGAGGCTACAACGGTCATAAGTCATTTTTTTCAATGCTGTTGCAACTTTGAATGGTCACTAAATGAACTATTGTAAGTTGAGGACTACCTGTAATATATAAACTAGCCATTTCTATAACAACAAGGTAGTCCTTGACTTATGAGCACACCTGAGTCCAACATTTCTGTTGTTAAGTAAGACATTTGTTAAAGGAACACTGCCCTATTTTACCAACTTTTTTGCGATGGTTTTTAATTGAATCGCTGCAACACGGATGTTAAGTGAATCTGGCTTCCCCAGTGTCAGCTGGTGCTCCGTTCAAAATCCAAGAAAGAAATACTTAGACTCTTGTAATTAGAGAAAAGATATCTTTTACTGGAAGTCAAGTGGTAGCAACAAGAGAATTCTGAATCTGAGGAAATAGGCACGTACATCACATATATCAAGGGATGGAAATGTTCCCACCCCCAATAGTTCAAACGGTTCTTCCAATAAAAAGTTGTGAACCTCATCATGTGGACATCCTCAGGTGGTGATGATTAGTTGACCTTGGCCTACTCTGATAAAGGTTTGCAGCTGCGTGGAGAAGAGAAAGCTAAGCAAGAAATAGAAACCCTCCTCAGATTACACAATATTAGTTAGTAACACCTCCAGCTCGTTCCCCATACTTTTCCCCCTTCCTCCCCCCGTTACTCATGACAGCCAGAAGGAAGATCTTGAAGGCTGACACCCAGTGACTTTGCTTGTTAGAAGGTTGTAAAAGGGGATCATGTGACCTCTGGGCACTAAACCATCATAAATATGATGCAGTGATTTCTGACGTTTGCATGATGACATCATGAGATGTATGACATCCGTCATCTCCCTTGCAGGTGCCATAATCGTATTACACGAGCTGAGCCTCTATCCTTAGAGAAACCAACATTGACAATCTTCTTTCAAAAGGAGAGAATGTAGATGGTTGATGATTAAAATTAACCAAGCACAACAATTAGCTTAGATCTTTGATTAATGTTAAACACCCCTAGGAATAGTTTTGCTATCTTATGGCTTCCTGCAATAAGTGATGAGATTAAAGTAAGAATGACATCTGCAGCTCGTCATAACTTTGAATAATGGTGCCTAAATAATAACGAGGTCTCATTAAGCTAAATATCATTAAACCTCAGTTAGTGAATTATTTTCAATGTATCTTAAATACGTTGGGCCATCATTTGGAATAGGAGGGGTAAAGGGGGAGTTTCCCTAAGAAATTATACCTGCTCATAATAATAATCATACATAACTAATAGTTATCATAATATGTAGTTAAAGTAGAACAGCTGACTTGAAAGGCAGCTATGCATTGAAATAACTGGTTTTGTCAAAATATTAATATTTATTTTTTACTACTACAAAAGAGAAAAAAGACAAACTGCTAAAAAGTACAGTGCAATGCATACACACACAAATAAAAATAAGCAGGAAAGGATTTGGTTGGTTTTCTTTTTTTAATGAGGGATGTTTAAATTTAAATGTTTAAATGCCACCACAATATTCCAAGTGTATTTTCAAAACAAGAACACGTTTTGATGAAATTCAGACCTGGTAAGGAAACATGTCTATGATTTCTTCAGTTATGGCAGAGGTGGTCTTCAGCAGGTTCTGACCAGCTCTGGAGAACTGGTAGCGGAAATTTTGAGTCCTTTGGAGAACCAGCAAATCCCACCTCTGACCCGCCCCCATCTATTCTCTGCTTCCCGAGTCCCAGCTGATCGGCTGGGCCTTCTTTGGTTGCTCTGCACAAGAGAATGGAGCTGGAAAGCAGGTTAGTGGGGTGGGGAGGGAATGGGGATTTTGCAGTATCCTTCCCCTGCCACGCCCACCAAGCCACACCCACAGAACTGGTAGTAAACATTTTTGAATCCCACCACTGATTTGCAGCCAAGCAAGAGATGTTGATCCAACTATTCTTGTAGGTAGATCTTACTTTATGCCTTAGGAGAGAGTCATCCAGTTCCATGTATGGACTTCACTTCCCAGAATTCTCAGCAGTAACTTCTTAGCTAAGAATTCTGGGAGATGCCCAGGTTGGGGAAGTCTGTTGTTAGAATCCAGGCTGTTTAACGAATGATTATTAAAACAAGGTATGATTTAGTGCAGCCTGGGGCCAATCTTTGCTTCTCTGAAATTAAAAAAAAAAACATTTAAAATTAAAACCCAGGAGGGGCTATTCCCCTGCCCCTTTTTTAAAAAAAAATTTTTTTCACTGTCTCAAGAATGGTGGAAATGCTCATGTACTGAAAGATATTTGTATCAAAGACATGGCTCACATACAAGGTTAATTTACTCTTTTTTTTTCCTTTTTACGATCCTGTAATCCCTTAATTTGGGGTAGATAAAAGGTAACTGGATGGAACTGAGCATTTACTGACTGGATGCCCTTCCTGCCACCCATGAGGAGTCTGCAGCAGATTTTTTTTTTTCTTTACATCCTAGAAGAGAAACGTCTGCCGCTATCTAGGCTTGAACTTTCAACCTTCATAAATGGGAAGCAAGAGTCTTCAACACTAGGCCACGACACCACTCACAAAATAATTGTCTGAAATATGCTTTGCATTAAGGAGGGATCTATCTAGAAACCAGTATACTACATTTCCCAGAAGCCCCGGGTGCACAATCCAAGAAAAATAGAAGCTGGGAGCTGTGGTTCTGCTACTGTATTTTCAGAATTCAGAAACCATACTTGAAGAAGTGAACTAGCTTCAGGAATTGCAAAACAAATGAACAATGTTCCTTGCCATGTTTTGACTTTCCTTCTCTGACTAAATGGTCTTTAGTTGTGTCGCTTTTCACATCCTTATAATTCCTACGGAGTGGAGCCATTGGCTAAAAGGACATCAGCCTAAGGAAAAGTCTCTTGGAAAACAACTGCTAAATACAGCTAAATTCTGTTACTGAAATTCAGCAGTGTTTTTATGGGTAGGTATGAAATCCAGCCACTTGGGCAATAAAGATCAGTTTGCAAAGGTCAAAGCAGATGGGGAAATGGATGCGAGCCACCAAATTGAGTAATAAAGAGCTAACCTTGAAACTGCAGGGTTTTCCCACGCACACAGAGGAAATAAAAAACATTGGAAGAAAGACAGAGATTCAATGGGGATCAACCAGAATGAACCATGTTCTCAGTTACAGAGAGATATTTGAGTTACTACTGGGGGCGGATCTCACCCAATTGCTTTTTTAGAAAGTAAGCATACAAAACCACAAGCAATTCAAAAGTTGATCCACAAGAGCTATTGAGAACCAATAAAAAGGAAATGTCTGGGAGGAAGTGTTAGATCGGGTAGATCCGTTCCCACAGAGACGCGAGACCAAAGTGAACAGTCAGCTCTTTATTGTAGTATACAGTTCTGTACAGGACCTGCGAGCCACGCGGCTTTTCTTATAGAGCTGGCCGGCGGCTCGGCGGCCAATGACAGCGCTTTGAATCTCCCGCGATCGGCTCGGCCAATCGCGGTAGACTCTTAGCGCACCAATCACAGTTGTTTAGTCAGCCAATCAGGTTGCGGTCCATGCGGACCAATCAGAGTTCAGGATTTGGAGAATGTTAATATAGAACAGGAAGGATTTCAGAAACTTCACGGATGATGCAAGACCCACTGCAAGGCTACCTTGCTATCACCTCTACCAAACTTCTGCAATTATCATTTTGCCTGCCTGCTCTTCTTACCTCCGCTGACTTCAGCACAAACAAAAAGAAAACCCTCAGAAAATCCCAAGAGAAAAGAAGAGCCTGGAAGAAAAAAAAGTATTTTGCTCAGTATCCCTGGGACTTGTGGCTGCCAGCTCAGACTATTTCAAAATTGGCATGACAAGAACACACGGATCTTAACTAAGCCATCTAAAAGATTAAACATCTCCCTTTTTCTGAGAACATTGGTCCCAGTTTGGATTCCTGAATGAAGAGAATCAAGGTATTTTTTGTTATCGTAAAATTACCAGTGGGGTAACTCTCTGTAAATATGGCTTTTAGACACGGCATGGAAGAAGGGAGCTGGGATGCGGAATTGGTGCAACCCAAAGTCTTGTTTCCACAGGAGAAGCAACTCAACTCCTCCAACTCTATTATTCTATGTTCTATATTCATTGTTACAGACTTTAGGAGTAAGGTAAAGATAAGGGTTTCTCCTATCCAGTCGTGTCCCACTCCGGGGGTGGGGGGAGGGGTGGAGCTAATCTCCGTTTCTTGGCTGAAGGAGCCAGTGTTGTCCAAAGATCGTGTGGTCATCACGACTGTATTCGGGGTCATGTGGCCATCGTGACTATATGCCAAGAATGCTGCTACCTTCAGTGGTGAAATGCTACCAGTTTGGCCCAGTTCAACTGAACCAGTAGCAAAAATTACTACCGGGTCAGCCGAACCGGTAGTAAAAAAAGCTCCGACGATTATCTGAGAGGAGAAAGAAAAGAAAAGTGCAGGATCAGCCTTCTCACTCACCCCTGCGTGTTTCTCTTCTTAATCCTCTCCGCTGATTGGCGCGGCAGAGCCTCAGCTGGTGTTTGGAAAGCTAGTGCGCATGCACATGCACGCATGAAGTGCGCAATCACCGAACCGGTAGGGAAACTGGTAGAATCCCGCCACTGGCTCCCTTCCCACTGAAATGGTACCTATTTATCTACTCACATTCGCATGCTTTCGAACTGCTAGGTGGGCAGGAGCTGGGGCGAGAAAGGGAGCTCACCCCATTGTGCGGTGCTCGGGTCTCAAACCTGGGCTGTCATCTTTCCAGCGGACAAGTTCAGTGTCTTTAACCTCTGAGCCACTGCATCCCCTTTAAGAATAGCCCCCTGTTAAGGCAGAGACCCTGGAAAGTGTGCAGAGAAGACCAACAAAGATGATAAAGGAAGCTAAATCGTATGATGGAACTATGAAGGAACTAGGTATCATCTAACCCAGGGCTGTCCAACCTTGGCAACTTTAAGACTTGTGGACTTCAACTCCCAGAATTCCTCAGCCAGCTTTGTCTTAAAGTCTTAAAGTTGCCAAGGTTGGACACCCCTGGTCTAACCTATCAAAGAGAAGGACTAAAGGGGACATGATAACTGTCTCTCAATACTTTAAGGGCTCACAAATGAAGAGAAATATACACGTCCCAGGATAATGTTGCAGGATCCAATCTCTACTCTTCCAGAGAGAAGTTCCCTGAAGACAGGCTCCAGGATGAGACCAAAAGCTCAGAAGACGAAACCTCTGGTCCTGGTGACTGATCCAGATTGGCCCCTGCAATTTTGAAGGCTGCCACAGAGAAGAAGGGATGGACTTACTGTATTTTCTAAGGCACCAGAGGGCAGGACAAGAAATAACGGGTGGAAGCTTGTTAAAGAGAAATCCAACCTAGAAGTAAAGAGAACTTTTCTGATGGTGAGAACAATTAATCAGCGGATTAGCTTGCTTCCTGAAGTTGTGGGTGCTCCATCACTGGAGGTTTTCAAACATAGACTGGACAACCATTTGACCATCTCTGTGTAAGATCTCCTGCCTTGAGCAGGGGACCTCAAAGGTCTCTTCCAGCTCTATGGTCATATGTTGTAAGGTTAAATGGGCCATTTCATCGGCAGTGCTAAAGGAGCATTTGACTGTCCTGGAGAAAGAAGGAAAAAAACCACCATCTACTTTGCCTTATATTTATTTGTTAGGTATAATTAAAAGGAAAAAAACGTTCACCGCTATGAAAGGTTCAAACCAAGATGAAATGATTGGAGCTGAAGACACTCGATTTGCAGAGGTTCAGCTTTCTTAATTGCCAGTCAGTAAAAAAACCCAAAAATCCCAACATTTCTTGAGAGAAAACAGGTTGGGGAAGTTTCTGCTGGGGAGAACAGATGGGACTACTCTGGCACGAAGGCAAAACCTCTTCTTCTGAATCAGTAATCCGATTGCTAATTGCCTTGAAATGAATAAATGATGAGAGGCTATAGAAAGCAAAATAACGCATATGTAAAAAAATCAGTTCTCCCGAGGGTAGGAGGTACAGGGGATTTAATCCCTTTCTTCCTAAATTGAGTACTGTGTTTTGTTTTTTCCTGCTATCAGAATTCACCTTCTGGGGGGGGGGGGAATATAAAGTTTGCGAGAAACTCCCTGTAAAAACTTACTGTAAATTAATACAGCAGCGCACTGGTCTTCGTTAATACTGAGGCCTGAGAGCTGTCTACTGAAAGGGTTAACCATCAAAATTCTCCCCCCCTCCAACACAAATAGGCACACAACTGTGCTGAACAATTTCAGCACAACCCAATACAAGATTCCAGTTGCACACAAGAAGAGCAAACATTTTAGCCAACTCAGAACCAATCCCAGAATGCAATCAGAATCCATCTGTCTCCTTTAATATTTTGAGCAAAGAATGTCTCGGCAGCTTCTGAATTGTTGAACGCTGGTGGCTGACCTCAGTTCTCTAATTTGCTGGTGGCATCTGAAGCTACGGTGAATCAGAAGGATTGTCTTTAGAAGGAGAAAGAAGTTCAGGAAGAAGAGGTTCTTCAATTCATCATGTCATTCATCCAGGAACGTAACAGCTGTATTTATTAGGAATGGGCCAAATGTCAAATCCGACATCCACTCTTTTCTGTTTAAACGGTCAAAATGTTATGGATCCAAAGAAGATTATTTGCCATCTTTCCTTTGTTCCAAAGTTCTTGCCTCATTTTCTACACGAGACAAAGTTCCCGAGAAGTTTGGTCAACGACCTCACCTGAGAAAACAAGAGAAAAGATATATGGCCAAATTAGCATCATTAGAAGACACACAGCATCGAACTGAGAAAGATTTTCAAGCTAGCAAGCCACCCATCAATTAAGAATGAGAACTGAGCTAGAGAGCTCATTTTGGGGATTAGATGGTTCTCCCAGGCAAATCCCCTCCAGGGATAATCCAAACTGTTTTTGGGTCAACTGAATAGAGAGAAAGTCTACTGGACACATGGTGAAACTGTTCGCACCCAAAGAGAAATAGCACCAGACTTCGTTGCGCTTGCTTGGCTCCAAGCAAATATTTGTTCAGATAGATGGATTTGTCCCAGGCTGTCTCTCTGATCGATTAAACCATGATTGTTGAAGCCAGGAACAAGTTGCTAGAGCCATAAACACTTTTATCCCCCAGTGCTTCAAATCCAAGCTTGTTTTTAACCATAGTTCTCCAGGATGGCAGGAGTGGTGTTAATTGGGTTTAAAAGAAAACCAGGGATAAAGTCCTGAAGCTCATAGATGAGCAAAGATGAAAAGGCATCTCAACCAGAAGCAAGAGAAGTCCCAGTTTTGGAGCATCCAACTTGGCTATGGGAAAGTTAGACTCAAGTCCTCCCTAACTTGAAAATGTCCCACCATCCATCTCCCAATATAGCAATTGTTAGGAAGAAGTTTTGTCACCTTTTTTCTTCTGGGGTGACTTTTTTGGCTTACAGTCTACCCTACAGCTGAGGGCTAGTACGGGTATCTCAACTTACGACCACAGCTGGGATTGGAATTTTCATTGCTAAACAAAGCAGTTGTTAACAGCAATAGCACTTAGACTTATATACCGCTTCACAGTGCTTTTACAGCCTTCTCTAAGTGTCAGCATATTGCCCCCCCCAACAATCTGGATCCTCATTTTACCCACCTCAAAAGGATAGAAGCAGGGTGGGGTTCTACTGGTTTGGACCAGTACTGTAGAAGTGGTTCTTACGATTCTGCGCAGTTTGGAGAACCAGCAAATCATGCCCTTGGCATGCTCCACCCCTCTCCGCCCACCCCTCCCTGCCCAGTCAGTCCTTATCACACATGTGTGACATCGCACACATGCCCGACATCTCTGACTGTGTTCTCCCCCACCCAGTCACCCCTTAAAGTATTTCTTTTTTTCCCCTCCCGATGATCAGCTGTTCTGGCATGCCCCTCGCTGCCTTACTGAGGCCCAGGGGTATGAGGGTGCACACCCCCTGAACTGTTTTTTGCCTTCCTGGACCCCAGGAAAACTTCCTGGGAGCAAAAATGACTCCCTTTGGCAAAAAAAATGTGTGTGTGGGGGGGGGGGGGTGGCTGCAAAAAAAAAGAAGAAGAAGAAGAAGAAGCAGCCACCCAATCACATGGCCATGCCCACCTAGCCATGCCAACAGACACAGTTGTTAAAAAAATTTGAATCCCACCCCTGGATGGAAGGTTGAGTCAACCTTGAGCCTGGTGAAATTCGAACAGCCGGACTTCAGGCAGCCGGCAGTCAGCAGAAGTAGCCTGCAGTACTGCACTCTAACCACTGCGCCACCAAGGCTCTTAAGTGAGTCACATACAATTTTAAGACCTTTTGTGCCATGGTTGCTAAGTGAATCAATGCATCACGTGATTGTAAGCAAATCCAGCTTCCCCTATTGACTCTGATCACCCAATGTCAACTGGGAAGGTGACCAATGCCTGGTTTTTGATCCTGTGACCGTGGGGATGCTGCAATGGTCATAAGGGTGAAGACCAGTCATAAGTCACTTTTTTTTTTTACAATACTGTTGTAACTTCAGTGACTAAGCAGACGATTGTAAGTTAAAAGGACTACTTGTAGTCCGAGGACTAACAGAATAACAGAGTTAGAAGGGACCTTGGAGGTCTTGTAGTCCAGCCCTCTGGTCAAGCAGGAAACCCTACACCATTTCAGACAACTGATTGTCCAATCTCTCCTTCTTAAAAACCTCCAGTGATGGAGCACCCACAAACTCTGGAGGTAAAACATTCCAAGTCATTGACTAACCAAGGTCAACCTTGCCTACCTTCCTGGGCCAGATGGACAACCAGACTTCTTGCTCAAACTCTGATATTATTTCAATATTATCCTTCACCTCTCCATCATGGAAATGGCCATCTGGTGAATGGACAGCCAAGCAATGCATGCTTTGGATGCTTAGGAAGGTCACCCACTGTCAGACCCTGTGACAAGTGGCATATCTCAAAGAAGAAACAGCATGAGGCAGATGTGTAAATATACTCATGCTGCCTTCATGAGCAGAAGGGGTCCCCCCCCCCCAATGACTTGATTCCCTGTCTTTCTCCTCTGGCAGTCCTCAAGGGAAAGAATATATACGCTTAAATGCATGCCTTAAAAATACTAACATTCATAAACAATCAGCATGTCAACTCATAAAACATTTTCTATACACGTTTTCTAGTTGTCAACAGAAAGAAGGGGGGCGGGTTTCAAAGAGCAGGCGGGCAGTGTGGAATCGAAAGTACATTCTATTCATATTTTCTTCAGAAACTGATTAGATGACTGAAGCTTCTGCCTCGCAAAAATCTAATTGGAGAGCATGATTGATGACTCTTGGCTATGGACGTGTTTCGTTAGATGTTACACCCAGAGGGGTGGGGGGAAAAGCAGAATCAAGGTGACAGTGAATGACGTGTCTCAGAGTTCGCTACGCCCAGGTCATGCTGACATGTTGATTTCCAGTAAAACATTTGAAGTTTTGGGAGTGTGACTCATGATTCAATTGGAGTAACTGCCAGAATCTTGACACAGCAATTCAAAGCTGGCCAGAAATGCAGATTTTTCACTGAAAGGGGTATGTGTCAACTTCAAAACGGACCAGGCCTGCTGCAAGAACCTTGAGAGTATGAGAAGCAATGTATAAAATATTCAGCAAAACTTCTCTTATGACTATAATAGAAAGGATATATAAAGGGATCTGGGAATCCTGGCGGACAATTACTTAAATATGAGACAGCAATGTGCTGCAGCTCCCAGAAAAGATAAATCAAGATTATGTGAAATGTTAATACTACCTTATAATGCCCTGGTAAAACCACACTTGGAATATTGCACTCAGTTTTGGTCACCATAATATAAAAAGATGTTGAGACTCTAGAAAGATTTGTGAGAAGAGCAACAAAAATGATTAGGGGCCTAGAAGCTAAAACAGATGAAGAATGGTTGCTAGAATTGGAATGTCTAGTCTAATGAAAATTATAGCATGACAATTATAGCAATCTTCCTATATTTGAGGGGCTGCCACAAAGAGGGAGTCAAGCTATTCTCCAAAGCGCCTGGAGGCAAGACAAGAAGCAATGGATGAAAACTTATGCAGGAGAGAAGCAACCTAAAAAGAAGGAGAAATTTCGTGGCAATGAGAACAATTCATCAGTGGAACGGTTTGCCTTCAAAAGTTGTGGATGCTCCATCACTGGATATTCTTAAGAGGAGATCAGACAACCACTTATCTGGGTTGGTATACGTAATTGATCCTACCCTGATGCCCATCATGGGGCCTTACAGTGAATCAGATTCAAAGGGCATCTCTTTAAAGCAGCCGTGTCTTTCCTTGGGATCTTATAATAGCCCCAAAATGAAGCACCCCCAATAATCTTCAGGCTTGTGTGTCCATCCTTCTTTCTCCCTACCTATATTTTATATCAAACACTGTGGCATCTTCATCTTCATCATCCTCTTCATTTAAGGGAGCCATTTCCACCCGTTCTGCTGGAGTCGTGATAATATCATATTTGCGGGTTTTTTTATTCCTCCTCTTAGACCTAAAAGGGAAAGAAGAAAAGATTTCAGATGGCTCGCTCCAGAAAGGTTCCCAGTAACATGGCAGGATAAAAAATATAAAATTGATACAATAGAGAAAGCGCATCAATTTCGCGAACAATATCTGGGACCTGAGGAAGAACGTGAAAGTGGAGAAGATTTAAATACAAGAAGTCAGGAAGAAAACAACTCTCCGAAGAGAAAGAACTTGCACCACAGTCAGAATCTCAGAAACTTAGAGAAGATGAGGACAACAGACCAAGTACAAGAGAACCCAGAACAAGGAAAGAAACAAAAAACGGTCTACACAGACAGTAATATGAGCAGAGAAATCACCTTATTTTCAGTCAATATCAATGGTTTAAACTCAACATTAAAAAGAAAACAGTCATTTGAAAAACTTAAAAAACAAAATGCAGACATAACTTGTATACAAGAAGTACACATCATAGATAAACAGGCAATTTGGGAAAAATGTACCAATTTGGGAAAAATGTATTGGGCTCTTTCAAATCAAAGAAAAAGGGATATCGTAGTATCTATAAAAGATTGGCTGCAACACAAACAAGTACCGTGTTTCTCCAACAATACGACCTCCCCCAATAGGAAGACCCAGCATGTTTTCTAGGCATAAAATGAAATTAAGCCCCTCCCCCCAAATTTAGGCCTATTTTAAAACATGCAAAATGGGGGGAAGGGTGGGGGGACTTGCCGTTAGGAGCACCCCGCGGGCAGCAATTCCTCGCCACCAGCTGCTCCTAATGGGCGATCATGGCAGAGCACGGAGAGCTCCCTACTCCTGCCAAGCATCTTTGCGGCAGACCCAAGACCTTTGGTGCCCGCCACTGTTGATTTCCCTTCTGCCCATGCTGCCGCCGCGTTTGGAGCTGCCACTTCCACGTTTGGAGCACCGCTGCCATTTGGAGCTGCCGCTTCTGCATTTGGAGCTGCCGCTTCCGCGTTTGGAACACCATTGCTTCTTGGACCACTGCCACTGTTTGGAGTTGCCATGTCCACATTTGGAGCTGCCGCCGCGTTTGGAGCTGCCGCTTCCGCGTTTGGAGCACTGCCGCTGTTTGGAGCGCCACCGCCATTTGGAGCGCCACCGCCACTCCAAACACGGAAGCGGGAGCTCCAAACGTGGTGGCAGAATGGGCAGAAGGGAAAGCAACAGCGGCGGGTGCCAAAGGTCTTGGGTCTGCAGCAAAGGTGTTTGGTGGGAGTAGGGAGATCTCTGCGCTTCGCCATGATCAACCGTTAGGAGCGGCTGGTGGCGAGGCTGCCCATGGGGCGCTCTAGATGAGGATGCAAGGGGGGGGAATTAAGTCACCCCCGAAAAGACGGCCTAGCCATTTTTTCGGGGCTCAAAAAAATATAAGACCCAGCCTTATTTTATGAGAAACATGGTATATAAGGATGATGAAGGGAGAATGTTATTTATAGAAATAATATTAAACCAGAAAAAGATTTTGTTAGGTACAGTATATGCCCCGAATGTAAATCAAAAAGAATTCTATAATAAACTCCATCACAAGATAGTAGAAACTGAATATACAAGTGTATTTATTGTAGGAGATTTAAATGCTGTTTCAGACAAGGACAAAGACTATAAAAGCTCCAAAAAATAAATAAATAAGTAAGTAAGTAAATAAATACAGGGAGACTATTCCCATCTTCTTTTAATAACATGGTGAGGGAATTAAACTTGAAGGATGTGTGGAGAGAACTATATCCAACCAAAAAGCAATATACTTTCTTTTCCAATCCCCATCATTCTTGGTCTAGAATAGATCAGATTTGGATGGACCCAGGCTTAATGGAAATACATTGAAAATATAGAGATTTTGCCAAATGTATGGGCTGATCATAACCCTATTCAAATTAAGTGGAAAGGAAAGAGAATGATTGGAAGATGGACATTTAATAATAGTATACTAAAAGATAACGAATATATTGAAATGGTGAGAAAAGAAATAAACAAGAGAGAGTATACATCCCTTCAAAATCTCTGGGATACAACAAAAGCCTACATGAGAGGTTTAACTATTGGCTATAGTATTAAAAAGAATAAAGAAAAAAGGCAACAACAAAATGTGTGGAGAGAGAAACTTAAAGACTTAGAAGTAAGTAGACAAATTGATTTGAATAATCAAAACACTAGTAAAGAAATAGATATGGTAAAACATAAGATAAATTTAAGTATGCAGGAAGACCTGGCCCGAAAAGTTAAATTAGCAAAACAAAACTATTTTGAAAATGCAAACAAGCCAGGGAAATAGTTAATATAAAATAAAATAAAATAAGAAAAAGAACAAAGAAAAAGAACTATTGTAGCTCTCCAAGACCAAGAAGGGAAAGTATGTACCCAGGCTAAGGAAAAGAAAGATATTGCCAAAGACTTTTTTACAAATCTATACAATCAAGAAGAAGTACCAGAACAACTTATTAATCAATATTTGAAGGGAAAAAATTTACCGGAAATTATGGATGAAGAGAAATATATTTTAAATAATAAAATATCCACAGAAGAAATTAGAAAGGCAATTGGAGCCCAAAAACTAAATAAAACCCCGGGCCTGGATGGAATTCCGTCTGAATTCTATAAGGAGTTCCAAAAGTTATTGGAGGAGTTAATGACAGACCTATATAATGAAGCCTTGGATAGTGCTAATATACTAAAGTCATGGAATGAAGCATATATAACCCTTATTCACAAAGAGCAGTCAGACCAACAAAACATCCAAAATTATAGGCCAATATCACTTTTAAATGTAGATTACAAGATTTTGGCCACAATATTGGCAGAAAGATTAAACAAAATATTAAGTAGGATTATTCATACTGACCAGAATGGGTTTCTGCCATATAGACAAATGAAGATAAATACAAGAATAATTATGGATGTTTTAGAATTCTATGAAGTACACACAACTAAAACAATGGCACTGATGTTTTTAGATGCTCAGAAGGCGTTTGACAATTTGAATTGGAATTTTCTTATTAAACAACTGACAGGCATGAAATTTGGCGATTTTTTTTTAGGATTTATTAAAACAATATATAATACCCAAACTGCAAAAATATTAATAAATGGGGAAAATATAGATAATATAAGAATAAATAAGGGTGTAAGACAAGGATGCCCCTTGGCTCCCCTACTTTATATATTAGCAGAAGAGACACTACTGGTACAAATCCAACAAAATCAAGAAATCAGGGAGTTAAAAGTTAAAAAAGAGGAGTGCAAACTTCAAGCATTCGCTGACGATATGGCCTTTATAGTGGAAGATCCCTTGGAAATGACACCTATTTTGATGAAAGAAATAGAACAATATGGAAAGGTGGCAGGGTTAAAAATTAATAAAGAAAAAACAAAAGTGATAACAAAACACTGTACAAATGAACAAAAGGAAGAACTAACAAAGAGATTAGGGATACAGGTGGTAAATAAAGTAAAATATCTGGGGATATGGCTGACAGCTAGGTGCTCATCAATTAGAAAAGATAACTACGATAAATTAACAATCCAAATATTTAAAGACTTAGATAATTGGGCTAAATTACAAATAACTCTTTTAGGCCGTATTGCAATAGTAAAAATGAATATTTTGCCAAAATTGTTGTTCTTATTTCAGACGGTGCCAGTCAAGTTGGAAAAAAGCTTTTTTGAAGAACTAAATAAACATATATCCAAATTTATATGGCAGGGGAAAAAACCCAGAATAAAATATAAATTATTACAGGATGATAGAAAGAAAGGAGGCTTTGGTTTTCCAGATTTCAAAACATACTACTATGCTGCAATAGCAACCTGGCTCAAAGACTGGGTTAATTTGATAAATAAAAGGATCTTAACATTAGAGGGCTTTGATCTCCAACTTGGATGGCACACATTTATGTGGGATAGAAAGAGTAAACACCACTTGTACTTTCAAAGGCATCATATAAGGAGTGTGTTACTAACTATTTGAGAAAAGTTTAAAAAAGTACATTACTGTAAGGTTCCACTGTGGTTATCTACAATGGAGGCAGTTACACATCCAAATGTTTTAGATTTTGATAATATTGTAAGATATAAAGATCTGTTACATCAAACCGGAGAGTTTAAGGGTGGGAATCAAATACAAATTCAAGGAAAAGAGATAGCATGGTGGCCCTATGTGCAGATACAAATGCATTAAAAAAAAAAAAAGAACAATTTGGTTTTAACATGACCTACCAAGAATTAGATAAAATTTGGCATGGAGAGGAAAGGAAGTTGATTAGTAAAATATATAAATACCTATTGGATTATAAATTAAAAGAAGAAACAGTCAAGGAGTGTATGATAATTTGGGCAAAAAATGTGGGCCACAGTATTGAATTAGACAAGTGGGAACATATTTGGGAAATAAATTATAAATTAACTATGTCAGCCTCTTACAAAGAGAATCTCTATAAAATGGTGTATCATTGGTACTTGCCACCCGTGAGACTGGCTAAGATGTTCTAAACATGTGCTAAACTGTTGGAAGTGTAACTGCATCCAGGGAACATACTTCCATATGTGATGGACATGTCCATATGCTCAGAAGTTTTGGAAAAATATCAAAAATTGGATTCTAAATATAACTAAACAAGAAGTAAAACTTGAACCTGAAACCTTTTTGCTGGGTATGATAGACTCAAAAATAGAAAAAAAAATATCAATATTTAATCTTGCACATTATAACGGCAGCCAGAATAAGTTATGCTCAAAATTGGAAACTGTCTATTGTCCCTTCAGAGGAGATGGTTATTAAAAAAATTCACGAGTGTGCAGAGATGGACAGCTAAACCAAATTACTAAAAAAAAAAGAAAGATAGTGAATACTACAAAGTTTGGAACTGTTGGTACAAATGGTTAAAGAAAAAGCAACATTTGACAACTGAATAAGTTATGAAACTATGAAGGACATGCGTTTAATCATAAAGTATTCTGTGAAATTAAAACATTAAAAGAACGAGGAAGGTATTGTAGCAA